CAGGTTCAATGAGATATCCTGTCTCAAGAAATAAAGGCCCAATCGTGGTAGTGCACGCCTTTAATCCCAGCACGAAATAGGCACAGGAAGGCAGATTGCTGTGAGTTCGAGGCCAGCAGTGTCTACGTCATGAGATCCTGCCTCTAAAATAAGATAAAATGAAATGTAAAGAACGATAGAGGAAGATACTTCATGTCAAGTCCTGGACGCTGCTCCTATGAGTACTTGTGTATACAGTCACCTCCATACACACATACACACATTTTCAGGAACACATACATGCACACTGTGCACACTCACAAAGGAAAACAGTGCTATTGTCAGGTTTTCTGTCTATTGAGCCTTGAAGGCGAAATCAGTCAGCTTACCTTTTCTGGATGTCAGACCTCGTGAGGCACCACTGTCCTGCCCTAACTCATTTTTTTTTTCCCCTGAGGAAAAAGCTGGGGGCAGCCTTAGAGATTCCCATACAGCTTCCCTCTGTGCCCTCCCCTGTCTCTCTGTCCCCTACTAATATCCATTTCCTGGGGAAAATGGAGTTAGGTCTGGAGTATAGGCAATAAATAGGGTCACAAATAGGGAGCTTGCTATTTTACAGTAATTAACCCTGGAGGTATCAGAGAAGAACTGAGACACTGGAGACAGCGTCTTTAGAAAGGCAGGTAAGCAGTATCCCAAGCCCTTCCTGAGACAATCTCTTCCCTCCCCCAACTGGCCACAACCCTTAAGGAACATAAGCCTCTCAGCCTGGGACACAAATGAGTAAATTAAATTGCAACACACTGGGACCCTCTGTTGTTGTTTAACTCCCCTCTGGGAGGAGGAAATGAATGTGCCAACATTCCCCATTCCCCATAGGGGGACTAAATGATTTCTCAGAAGCCATGGTCTCATGTGCTCTATTTGTTTAAATGAGTTTAGGGTAATGAGCAAATGTGAGCCTGACAGGGCCTATTTGAAAAAGGCCTCCCTCAGAACTGACAAGGGTCATGCCAACTTCTTTGTCTGCATGCCATTCCTCGGCCCTGGGGAGAAATTAGCTCAAAGCCAATTAGCCCATTAGCCACCAACCACGTGCACAGGAGTAGGCTGAGTGTCGTTGGGGAAGGGTCTTTCCTCTTGTTTCTTCATCACATGTTTGTGGAATGCCTGACCATATGTGGAGCACTGAATCGAGCACATAGAATCTAGTAGGAGAGGAAGGACACCAAGCATGCAAGGCTACATTCATGGTAGAGGATGCCTGTAATCTCAGCACATAGAAGGTTGAGGCACAGAGATTTTCAAGAGTTTGAAGGCCTAGTTAGTGAATTCCTGGGCTAGAAGGGGAAACCCTGTGCTTGTTACCTTCCTGTTCCTGTGACAAAACATCAGGACCAAAAGCAGCCCATGGAAGAGCTCTTTTTGGCTCGTGATTCCTGTGGCTCCTCAGACAGCTTTGCTTAGTGGCCTTGTCATAGCCTCTCCTTCACCTGTGGAGAGTCCCCAGCCTCACTTAAATGTAGTCAGACTCTCTTATCTTGAAACACACACTCGGGGGCTTTAGTCTGAACATAACACTAAGCAATTGTGTTTGGCCTATGGTATCATGATGGTTGGAGAGCCGAAAGCATGATGCAGGAGCAGGAAGCTCAGCTCACATCTTTAAGAACAAGCATGGAGCAGAGTGAGACCTGGAAGTGGGCTGAGGCTCGATATTCTCAATATTCCCCGTGACAAACTTCCCATCACACCTCAAATCAGTATACAAAGTGAGGACCGAGTGTTCAAATGCCTGCAACTATGGGGACATTTCTCAGTCAAACCCTCTCTTTTAAAAAAATTAAAAAATAAATAAAAATAAATATCACCCACTCCAGTGAACCCCGATGTTTAGCTTAAGAGCTCTGTTAAGCAGCTCAAACTTTCATGTGTTGGACTAGTGGTGATCCTGGGAGCCTCACTCTGTAGGGAAGTGTGAGAAGGTCCTCTGCTCTAGAGAGGATGTGTGGAAGAAGAGAGAACACAGACATCATGTGGACCTGTAAGGTATAACTGTATGTAACGCATCAGGTAGACAGAAGAGTGGCATGTTATAGAGCAGGTTCTTTGCTGCATGACTTTTCCTTTCCTTGAGAAAAAAGTGACACACACAGGGTATAACCCAATCTCTAATCAACCCTCCTCCTCAAAAGATGGGCCAAAGCCAATCCAGGTAACTTCTTTTGAGTCTTTCAATCACTACCAGAAGGATGTGGCTGAGCCTGTTCACTCAGAAATGGTTTTATTGATCATGAGATGCTGGAACAATGAGCTTTTATTTCTCAGTCCAACACAGGTCTTGAGTGTGACAACTAGATAATGTCACCATGAAGCTATCATGCTGAGGGCAAAGCTCTGACAACCATAAAGCAGAAACAGGAAAAAACCCCTGAAGCCTCAGTACTACTGTGAAGGTATGCCCCAAGCTCTGCAATTATTAACTCCTGGTATGTTTTCCTATTGTTTAAACCAGGCTGTGTTGGCCTTTTTGTTAACTACTTGTAAATGGAAACACCCCTGTTAATTCACAGCTTCAAAGAAACTTGTCAAAACCACTGCAGAGGAACACTTTGGAACAGCTGACAGTCCAGGACCTTTCTGAGCTAGGATGTTGAATTACAATAGTGTGCTACATTCTACTATTAAAAAAAAAAAAATGGAGAAGTTTAGAGAGGCCTTGGCCTTCTGATTTCTCCATAGTCTGGGTTAATCTTGTGCTTACATGAAAAGGCTTGCTGGAGGATGATACCCATATACCAGGCCTCTTAGATTTGTAGGCCCAGTGCTTGGGAGGTAAGCAGAGGAGGATAAGAAGTTCAAGATAATCCTTCTTGACAGTTATTAGTTCAAAGTCAGCATAGGCCACATGACTTTACCCTAATAATAATAATAATAATAATAATAATAATAAATAAAAATAGGAAATTCAATCTGGTTATAAGTCAAACAGCAAGAACTACTCATGAGCGCCCTTTCTACCCTTGTCAAGGACAACTCTCTGAGGCTGGTGTGGGGGGATTATATGCATAAAAACTAGCCATTCTTGTCCCTTCTTGAGGCAGCTGGCAGACAGGTTTCTAGGGGTACAGGCGTGTCACACATACATACATAGCACAACCCATCACAGGGCTCTGCCCATCATTCTGCTTCCTTCACCCTCAACACAGCCCCCTTTAAAATCTCTGATGCATCCCTTCCCTGGGATGTTTCTGTTGTCCCATGGTACATCCAGGTACACCTACACACTGAACACTGCCCACCTTCTGCCTGACTGGATCACAATAAGATGGTGTGCATGCCAGCCCTCTACCCACAGTGTGTCGGACAGAGATGTCAGTGTGCAGTGAGAGTGTCTCAGGCAGTCACTGTGAGTCACACTTGTAATCCTAGCTCTCCAAAGGAAAATCTTAAGCTCAAGGCCAGCCTGGGCAACTTAGTAAGAGTACATCTCCAGAGAGGGGGGGTACCATCTAAGCCACCCACTTTGCAGAAGAGGAAACAGAGGTCTAGCCTAGTGTATGTCATGCCAGAACAAGGAAGCTATAGATTCCTTTGTCTGGAATGTCACATCCATGACAAAGTTGAGTTTGACGGAGGACAAAGTTGAGTCTGACAAAGATCTGGAACCCATGGTTCCTTTAGTCTATCTTCAGAGTCTACTGCTATCTTCAAGTGGCACAGTGGTTCCGGTATCCTCCTATTCATCAAAACTCCTGAGACCCTTTCACCTCTGAGCAGACATGGTTATGCCAGGTTAATGAGTGGGGCACAGAGACAACAGGAGGCTTTAGTGAAAACAGGCATCAGTCGGCCCGTGCTGGTTACAGAGGTCTGAGTAGAGGTAGCTCTCTAGGTCTGGAACTTTGAAAGATACAGTTAGAGGAGCAGGAGAAAGACTTCTCAGATGGAGAAACACTCTGGCACGAAACTGGCGCCGCCGTTCTGACTCGGTCTCCCAAGTGCTGGGATTATGGGCTGGCTGGCTATTTTTCCACCTTTGCTGTATTCAGGAAGCCTAGAATTAAATAATTAAATAAAGCTTAAATTAATCTAGGGTCAAGATCAGAAGGCAGCAGCAGGGTTTGAGCAGGAGAGTGTCAGAAACGTTCGGATTCCGCATCTTATTAGTGATCCATTCCCTTCCCTTCCTCTTTACCTCCCCTTTCAGGCCTGGGCTGACGCTTCCTGGGCAGCACCTCTGTCTTCCAACTGGCCTGCTCTTTATGCTCTTACCCTCATTGGACCATCAAACAGGCGGTGAAAACGTGAGTGAATATTTTGAGATAAGATCATACTCAGATGCTTAGGCCTTGAATTTATAATTCTCCTGTTCCAGCGTTCCAAGCGGCTGGGATTACCAGTTTGCAGCACCAGGCCCGGCGTCCGAAGTGGCAAAGTTTGAACTGGAATTTTTGAGGAGGCAGCTCGGCTCAGGTCTATGAGCGCAGCAGGGTGAAGCAATACCACCTTAACCTCTCTAGGCGCCTAAACTGGTCCTTGAGCCAAGAAACCCAACCTTTGGATGAGGCTGGGGTTGGCGTTAGGGGCAGAAGTACTGGCGAAATCACTGGTAAGAGGCTGTAGTAGCAAAGAGGGGAATGCAGAAAACGTAAAGAAAACGCGAGCGTGAACAGAATGCAGGCAGTGAGAGCGGGAACCGAGGAGATAGTGCAAGATGAGGAAAGGGACAGAAAGGGAGAGAAAGGCTGAACAGACGGGAGCCCGCGAGTGTGATGAAGCTAGAACTAAGAAACTGCGAGCAGGGTTGGCGCGGGCTGTAGACGAGGACGAGTCGGAGGTCGGAGCAACCCCAGCTGTCAGCCGGGAACAAAGGCCGCGGGGCGAGCGGGACGGGGCGCCGGCAGCGCGGGCCAATGAGTGGGGTAGGTGCTGGCCCCGCCCCGCCCGCGCCCCGCCCCGCCCCGCCCCGCCCCGCCGGCGACTGGGGACCTGGCTCTGAAGCCTGCGTGCCGGAGCAAGCGGGCGGGCGCTGGGCGGCTCCGAGGAGCTCGCTGTCCGAAAGTTTCTCCGTCCTTCTGCTGCTCCGGGGAGCGGGACTTGAGCGCTGCGGGACCCGCCAGGTCCGGCAGGTCTACGGAAAAGGAGACAGGGGCACTACACAAAATACGCCGAAAAATCAAAATCTGCAGCCATTTGCAGCTAGCCCCGAGGCGCAGGAGGACAGACAGGTAAGGTGTGAGTCCTGTGTCTCCATCGCCGAGTGTTTGCAGCCTTTGGCCCAGACCCAGGGAAGACCGCGCCCCCCCCCCCCCCCCCCCCCCCCCGCAGCCTGCCACTCCGGGAGTGAGTCCCCTTGTCTGTCGGTCTTTGTCTGTCTGTGGCTGCGTCTGTCTAGGTGTCTTTGTTTCTGCATGTAACTGTCGGGCGGGGGAGATGAGGGAGGGGCGGGCGAGTCTTCGCCCTTGTCACTGCGTGTATTGCTGATCTGACCCCGGGGGGGAAACGATGTCCATCCTTCTGTCTTTGTCCATCAGCCGGGTGTCAGCCAGGGCTGGGGGGGGGGGGTGTCTTCTTCCAAACCTGAATTTGATCTTGGAGACATGCACTAGGTGACATGGATGTAGAGGTGAAGAAATGAGAGGCGAGGAAGTGCGGTCACAGGGGCTGAGTCCCCAGAAGGAGGATCTGCTTGTTGGGGACTGGCTAGTGAACTTTATTTTGCTGGCTGGAACTTTGGAGGTGCATTGTGTGGAAGGAATAATAGGGAATAAACTTGGATACACACACACACACACTTCAGTTCACTCCTCTTTCTCACCACAGGGAGTCAGATCCCCTCTGTCGTGCCACTCATCCTGCCCTGGCTTAACTCAGTAGCAACAGGCAATCCAAACACCAGGGGCCAGGTGATGGTTCCCTTTCCTGTTCCAAGTGGAAGAGAGCAAACCGTGGGGATTCTGCTCGCCCGTGGTCGCCCGGGCCTGGGAAAGCGCTGCAGACCTGCTGGCTTCAGAGCCCTCAGTTTCCCAAGCACAGAGATGCTCAGGGATCCAAGCACAGCTCTCAGCCTCTGCATGCTCCTTGAGTTGCTGGTCAGCTGAGACACTGGGTTCTGGGTAGCCTTCACCTTCTCCACCAAAGGGCCCCCTCTCTCTCCGGGAAGCACAACATACTAGAGTCTCACAGCCCAACCTCAGAAAGATAAGCTGCCTGCATGCAATTCTTCCAGCATCCAGACCGGGGAGAGGAGGCTGCTGGTAGGGGCATTTTAGGGTTTGTAATCTGAGCGTTCTTCAAGTTCAAAAACAATTTGCTGCAGGCAGGCAGAGGGAAAATGGAGGTGTTTGGAAGGTGTGTGCACATGGCCATCAGAGTTAAGAGTTTACAGGGGTAAGAGTGGTTAAGGTTGGCACAGAACAGAGTGTGGGCAGGAGTCTGTGGGCAGAGAATACACCCTAATCGGGCCTGGGCCACACCTTGTATTTATCCAGGCCTTTCTTCTGACCATTTTCTGTGCATCATAGACGTTATCTCATTTGTTATCTCCTTTATCCTCACAACATAACTACCAGGTTAGCATAAGATATGATTCGCTCTGTGCCAGTGAAGAAACTGAGGCACCAAAAGGAAAGGGTGTTCCCCCAGGTCCCATAGCTAATGGGAGCCAAGTCTAGCATTAATGAAGTCCAAAAAGCATGTCTTGGCTGTGTAGATGTGAGGGCAATCACCCGCTGGAGGCGAGAAGAACAGCCTGTGGAAAAAGAAATGAGGGCATCTTTCCAGGTGGTCTCTCTGGAAGCTGAAGGACCAGACATTTGCTTTTGCTCAAGATGATTGTCCTTTCGTATTTCTAGCAGTCTTGGAACACTCTGCAAAGCAAACCTGCTTTAGCAATTCAGTCTGTGCACTCTCTAGACAGGAGGAGATATCCCTGTCTAGGTGTCTACCTCAGATGGTTGGCAGGAGCTGAGAGTGTGCTGGGGAGGAGGGAGCAGGCTGGGTGTGCCAGTAGTCTGAGAGTGGGAGGACATGATTGCCATGCAGTGTTAAAAAGCCAGATGTCTGCATGTATGGGTGAGGAAGTAGATGGACTCTAACTAGACAAAAATGGCCTTCTATTCCTGCAAATGTATTTTTATGCCTTTGTGCTTGTTTAACATTCATCTCACAGATTTTCATTGGATGCTACAAAATGCAAGGCCCTGGGACCACAGTGAAGCTCAGGAATGAGCATTATAAGGTGGGGTTAGTTTAGTTGAAAAGTGCTTCCTTAGCAGGCAGGGGCTCTGTTTGAGCCCTAGCACCACATAAAACTTTACATGGAGCCAGGCAGTGGTGACACATGCCTTTAATCCCAGCACTTGGGAGCCAGAGGCAGGTGGATCTCTGAGTTCAAGGCTAGCCTGGTCTACAGAGCGAGAGCCAGGACAGCAAGAAAGAAAGAAAGGAAAATAGAATAAAATAAAATAAAAAACTTCACATGGTGCAAACTTGCCCAGATGGTGGAGGTAGAAGGATTAGAAATTCAAGTCCAGTCTTGAACACATAGGAAGTTCAGGATGAGCCTGGGCTGCCTGAGACAATTTCAAAAGGGAAAACAATAACAATACAACACAACAATAAAAAATACAGGAAATAAGGTAATGACAAATAATCTATTTTAAGCGACTTAAAGTCAACTCACTGATGAATATTATTGTAACAGAGTTTAATATCATCCTCTGAGTGCCATCAGATCTCACACCATTGTTTCAAGCCACTGTAGGAAAGTCCCCTCTTCCTTAGGTAGAGATCCCAAACCTTCTTCTGAGACTTTACTGCCATCTGGTGCTGTTACCACACTAACCGCACAAGAACTACAGTGAATTTGGAGCTCAGGATATAGTGTCTGGCTGCTTGGACTAGGACCTTAGGAGGTGCATGTTTAGCAAAGTGTTAGGAAGGAAGGCTGGAGGGTTCTCTGCAGGGCTGGCTTTTGCAGGAGCACACTTCACTGAAATGGTCTCTTACTTCCCGTGCTGTTATAAGGCTTCTGCCTAGCCTGCTCCATCCCAGGCCCTATTCCTAACACTTTAGAATCAAGAGAACCTCCATCCTACCTACTCTATTCCTGTGTTTGCCAACCCACAAGAGCAGATGTGGAAGGAGAAGGTGCTAGGCCTGATTTAGGTAGACCTGGCTCTGGAGTTTGGACAGTCAGAGCTTCAGGGCATACAGCTGCAGAGGAATGCTGATGCTGTGGAGGTGGCAGAGAAGGAGTTTTCAACTGTCTGGGGCTCCTCACCATTTACCTCTGATTTTGCTTTGACTGGATCTTCTTGTTGCAGCAGTTTGGACACCCAGGAATTCTCTGAGGAATTTGAAGTGCTGTTGTGTTGAAGGAGGTAATTTGGCCTTGCTTTATGCCTTATTAGCCCAAGACTAGCTTCACATGCTCTTAGCATTGGTGTCATCATGGCTCATATTGTAATGGCCACATGTGTTCTCAAGGGCTCATGACCATTTTAATTTTTCTTTGGAAGAGCATTACTCAAGGTTGAAAACCTTCATTTCATTGTTCTCTATTTAGTAACTGAGACAGGGTCTCAAGTAGCCCAGACTGGCCTCCCAGGCTCTTTAGCAGAATCATCTTCGTATGCTGCTGCTTCCTCTAGGTCCTGACTTCTGCCTCCGAGGATAGCTCCAGAGCAGCGCTGAGGGGTTTAGGAGGTCTTGCCAACCAAGAACTATATCACTGTCTGGGAAACAATTTATTTCAAGACTCTTTTGAGTTTCCTTTAGCTGTTTTGGGACAGGATCTTATGTAACCCAAGTTGGCTTTGAACTATCTATGGAGCAAAAGATAATCTTGAAGTCCTGATCCCCCTGGGCGGGCCTCCTAAGGGCCAGGATTAGAGTCATGTGCCAGCACAGGCCCAGGTTTGCTTTTGAATGGATCCAGACTCCACTAAACAATTATTTTCTAGTTCTCTCTCTCTCTCTCTCTCTCTCTCTCTCTCTCTGAAGCTCCACTTTAAAAGGGGACTTCCTGATGTTATCACTGAAAACCTCCCTATTGCCCTATGCTGTGCCTTCCACCATTTGGCAAGTGGGGACACTGAGTAAAGCCAAGGAACGCACCCAGGATTTTCAACTAAGTGTTGAAGCCAACTGACTTGCAACATAGAAATGACGCTATTGGGATTCATTCATAATTTTTATTTTCTTCTCATTTGGGGGAAGGGAATAGCATCAGATGCAGAACACAGGGCCTTGCTTGTCCTAAGAATGCACTTCAGCATGGTGTGATCCTCTCAGCCCCTGGCCCTATTGATTAAACATATTTAGGCTCCTTAAGTTGTTGACAAAGGCTTAATAAACAAAACAAACAACAAAAAAGAGGTATTTAAAATTTGGGCCACCAAGCCTGACTACCTGGGTCTGACATGGTGAAAGGAAAGAACTGACTCTTACAAGGTACCCTGGCATCACAGCATGCATATAAACAAACAAACAAACAAATAAGTAAATGTAGTTAGTTTTTTTTATTGTAAGAGCTCAGCTATTCTAATAATTACTGAAATTTGAAGATGAGAAAAGCCTCATTTTTTCTTTAGTTTTACTGTGCTGCTTTTAACTCCCAAATGCTATATACATATGTCATAAGCTGTGGTCAAGCCAGGAAGCAGCTAGGGATGGGATATCTATTTGGGTTTGCTCTAAAGAAGGATTTTGATATGTTAGAGTTCTCCTGAAATTTAGTCAACTCATGACCTTTATTGATACAGTTCACATTGAAATTAGAGCAAATGCTTTCTCCAAAGAAGCTGAGTTAATGATACATCACTGGAAAGGCAAAAATTCATTTTTCAACTATTTCACCTTGTACATAGCAAGTGAGTTCCAGAATAAAACATGGCCACAAGCTCTTTGTTGGGAGTCAGCATTGTGCAGAAGCCAGACCCGAGTTCATCCCTCATGGAAGCTCTCCTGAATTTAGGATGGAGTGCCATAGGAAGAAAGGAAGGATGGAGAGGGAATTGTCCTAACCGACACACTAGAAGTTTGAGTTTTCTTAGTAAGTGACAGGCAATATTGGCACCTAAACAGACGTGATGTGGGCTCTGTCCACTGTCTGGAACAAAGGCTGCTCTTTAGACCACCAGAGCTTTGCTTTGTCACTAATCACTATAGAGGATGGCTGCCCTCAGGGCAACTGCCAGAACACAGCTTGTTCTCTCTCTGCCTC